ACTTCCTTTGAGACTTTGTATGTAAGATATGTTGTGTGTGTGGGGGGAGGTCATCTCTCCTGTAGTATGCTGGTATATTAGAAATAATCACAATGCTATGTATTGATCTATTGTTCAACTTGTGCTTGTCCCACATTGTATATTGTGGAGTTTGCTAGACACCCTTCAAATCTGTCCATTATTCTTTTTTTTCTTAACGCTTTTCTGGTGTATTCCACACTGTCTAAAAGTTGCAGCGTTTTCAAAATTTCAGAGATTGCAGCTAGAGGAGTGGGAACAAGGAGGGAAATTTGGCCCCCAAATAGTAACTGGAAAGTGAAGTTCCTGTGAATCCCCAGAAAGATGAGATTGGAACTGCCGATTCAGTAGATTATTTGTAATGTAGAAGAAGAAGAATTTGTCTAGAGAGCTAGATTTTATATCTCCTGCCAACTTTGTTTTTGCATTGTAATCCTCAAATATTACTTTGTTTGCAAAGCTTTTTTAGAAAAAATTAAAAGATAGTAGTGTCACTGTGTTACCTTGGCTGGCTAGAACTCCAGGGCTCAAGCCATCCTCTAGTCCTTGTTACTAGAGCAGCTGAGACTAGGCATACCCACACCACTGCCCAGCTTACTAGTGTATTGTTGATGTTTAGAGTAATGTGAGCACAATAATTACTTGAGAATGTGTAGTTACTTCAGAATATGTATCAGTATTAACTGTAAAGTTGGAAACCAAAGAATTGGTTAATTATTATTAGAGGCTGGATGCCAGTGGGTTAGGCCTGTTTTCCTGCCTACTCATGAGGCTGAGATTTAAGGAATGTGGGTTGAAACTAGCCTGGGAAAGACAGACCATCAAACTCTAACCTCAGTTAACCCACAAAAAAGCAGGAAGTGAATCTGTGGCTCATGTGGTAGAATACTAGCCATGAGCAAAAAAGCTCAGCGATGGTAGTCAGCACTGATGGTACTCAGCTCAGCACTGATATAGCCACACAGACACAGAAACACACACACACATACACACACACAAATTCATATATATTCACACACATGTATGATAAGAGAAGTTTCAGTTCTTTAGTTTGAAAAATCTACAGATGTCAGATATGTTGTCCTCAGCTCTTCAGGACAGTATAGTATAGCACAGTACAGTATAGTACAGCAGGTTGAAGACTTTTGATAATATGGAAATAGGTTAGTCATTAGTGAAATGGTAGCACAGACTTGAAGACAATGACCTTATGAGTCATGCTGGCTGGGTGATTGTACTTAGTGATCATGCTTAGATCATTAACTTCTCTGTACCTTGGGAATCTTCTGTCAAAGAGAGTTAATCATATCTCTGTCCTGGGATCTCAGTGAAGACTATATGGATTAATAGATGTATAATATTTCATGTTAGTACCTAAAAAATGTTCAAGTAAGTGCTTGTTATTTTCATGTCCTAAAAAGGCTTACCCTCTTTTTTAAATGAATAGCTATATAAAAGATGATGAGTTTTCTTAACTAGAGCAAATAACACCAGAAAGTAACAAAATGTTTATCTCCAAAATTTTTTAGATTTCCATATATAAACTTAGCCACTCACATTTAAACAATTATGAGGTGAGTTCATTACTTTTTCTATTTTGCTTTTGTCAGTTTAATGATAATTTTCTCTTTTGGAGAGATGTGAGAACATCTTGATTATTTTTTAATTTTTTTTGTGGTCCTGGGGTTTGAACTCAGGACCTCTCACTTTCTAGTCAGGTAATCTGTCACTTGAGCTGCTTTGCTAGCAATTCTCTCTCTCTCTCTCTCTCTCTCTTTTGAGTTTTAAGGAAGGAGTAGCTTATAAAAATCCCAACTTTTGTTACAGCCTCCAACTAATAATTAGTTAGGTCAAGTGGCTATGAAAGAAACTAATATTGGACCTTTTTTTTTCTCTAGGTTTGGAGTCTTCAAAAGATTTCTCTCTCTCTCTCTCTCTCTCTCCTTGGTGGCAATACTTACTGGGGTTTGAATTTAGGTTTTTGAGCTGGGTAGGTACTCTACCACTTGAGCCACATTTCTAGCAAGCAACTTCTGGAAGTATGCTGAAAAATGCTATGCTGCTAAGACTCTTGGGAGGGTGAAACTTCTTAATGTTATCTTCCCTTTTAAGATCTACTGTCTCATCAGAATTAATAGTCTCTTCGGAGCCAGACACGGTGTTACATGCCTATAATCCCAGCAGTCAGTAGGCAGAGCTGGAGAATTATGAATTTGAGTTCATCTTGGGATACCTGAGATTTTTTTTTAATCCCCAAATTAAAAAAAAAAAAAACCAAAACCAAAAAAACAAAACCCAAACCCAAACATAAAATGAGTCTTTCAGGAAATCAAGACAAAACATAATTGTAGGCACAATAAATGTCAATAACTGTTGATTAAAAACAAAATCCTGCCACGAGAAAAATCATTTCATGTGATAACACCTGCTGTTTGGAAATCTTTTTACCTAAGTAAGCTAGTCACAGCAGTAAAACACAAGAAAGGCTCAGTCCTAACAGACAGAATCCAACAGGGAAATCCAGCCAGTTCTTTGAAGGGAGGACGGTTCAACACAGTAATAAGACCCAATTAATGCTCATTATGTCTATGTTCCTAGGATGGGAAACTCTTAAAACTGAATTTAGTTATGGACTGTCAGATAACTTCTGTGTAATTAGGAACTTCGTGGGGTTTTGATCCTTTCTGGCTCCATGATACTCTGTGCCATATGCAAGACTGAGTTTCCTTGATCTTTGGTCACTGGGTTTGTTGTAGCCATCGTGGTGGCTCAAGCTGAGTCCCTCACCTCAGACTTTGACTTTTATGTAAGTGTTTGCTAGGTTCTTTCTGAGCACCTGGTCAGCTCAGGCGTAAAGCTTCTCATTCTCTGCATGTTCCAGCCACGTTGAGAGGGGTTAAGCATAACTAAGACATTAGATAGCAAAGCTATCATGTATTCACTTTTGTTTTTCTTTTGGATCCTAATGTATGAACATTGCACAATCTATCCATTCTACAGTTGATCAGACATGTTGATTTGCTTATTGTTTATCATGAACAATGCTGCTTAAAGTCATTCTTGTGCTTGTCTCCTTAGAGAAAAATGTACAGATTGTACCAGGATCCAAATGATTGTAAATTCAACCATTATGTCAAGAAATAGCCAAGTGCATTGCCTCCTTTCCCCACCTCCCTCGCTAACACAATTGTTTATATGTTCCTTTATATTGATTTAAAAAAATCCTGTTACTACTTCCCTATCACGAGAAAAATCATTGCATATATGTTCCTTTATAGTTTAATCATGAGCATATGAATATCTTTATTGGGATAGATTACCTACATAAGTCACTTTGTGAAGAATTTTCTAGTTTGCCTTATCTCTTGTTTTGTGAAGACTTATCTTCTTCTGGTACATTCTATCAGCATTACAGAAATTAGCTTTCTGAAATATTTTTCTGCTGAAGAGCTTTTTATGGCTTCATGTCCTGGAGTCCATCCTTGGTATAGCTGAGAAGCCTTATTTATAGATAGCTTGTGTTCTGGTGTGGATGATAAACCCTTCAAACTTAATGGCCCACAACAAAAATAGTTGTAAGTTAAAGGGGAAGACTCTCTTCCCTACACACACCACTTTCCAGAGTGCTGTGAATTAAATTTAGGGCTCCCCACTTCCAGACAAGTGCTCTACCATTTGAGCCATGCCTCCAGCCCCTTTTTGATATAGTTTGTTCTTATACATCAAACAATGATTTTCTTACAGCTCTACTTCCTGAGTAATTGGGAATATAGGAATGGGCCACCATGCAAGTCTTGTGAAGCCTTTTCTATTCACATGTCTAATGATTGCTGCTGCTCTGTTGGGAAATTTAGATGTGGTCCTTCCATGTGGCCGGGACTTCCTTGCAGCATAGCGGCTGGGTTCCATGGGTGAACTTCGCAAGAGACCAAGCTAGTCAGAAGCTGAGCATGGCCTTTTTGAACCTTACTTGGAACACTGTGTGTTATTACTGAAGGATATCTGTGTTGTTCCCTAATAAATTTGCGAGACCTCAACTCAACTAATAACAAACTGAGTATGGTGTTGTGCAGCTGTCATTCTGCTCTGTGGAAGGTGTAAATAAGAGAATCATGGCCCAGGTCAGCTCCAACATAACAACAAAATCTTGTCTTAAAATACAGCAGAAAGTGCTGAGGGCATGGCTCCAGGAATAGAATTCTGTTTTTGTTTTTGTTTTTCTCCTGACTTCCACCCTAAAAAAAATAGACTTTGAAACTAGCCTGTACAATTTAGTGAGTTCTATACCAGCAAGTACTGCAAAAGTAGTTGTATAAAGAAGTTTCAGTTTAACATAACAGTTTGTGAGTGTAAATACTTGGTTTTAACTACCCTCTCTCGGTGACTCTATTAGACAGAATTACACTTGTTCTGTGATCACTGCTGAAAACTATAAAAATTACCAAATAGTCCTAGGATGCCTGTTAAGCAATGAGAATCCAGCTGATGTCACTGGCTCAGTTCTCAGGTTAGACACCATCTTTGATCACAGCATAAACTCTCTCTCAAAGAATGAGAGATACTTGATGGTTACAGAATTGATGAAAGAGATTTATTTCTACAGTTAGAATTAAGTGTCTGGTTTCACAAGACTTGCATAGTGGTCCAATTGTATTCCCAATTACTCAGGAAGTAGAGGTAAGAAAATCATCGTCTGGTTAGTATAGAATTATGTGTATGATTTCTTTTAGAACAAGGAATCAGATCCCATACAGACTTTTTATTTCAAATTTGGGGAATTTAGCTTACAGCATATTGAAGACCTGTCTTAGAGAACTTAATTGATGTCTAGTGACCAAAATAGTTTGAGCTGGATGTTATGCTTTTGAATAATGGGGACTTAGCATGTTGTTATAGCTGGATTTCATGGGTCAAAAACACAATTCCAGTGTAGCTATTCTGGATGAGTGATGAGTATATATTTTTGTTATTTCTACTTCTAGAGACCTAATACCTATCATTGCTGCTCTGGAATACAATCAGTGGTTCACAAAGCTGTCCTCTAAGGATCTAAAATTGGTAAGTAACTGAAGTACCAGTGACTGTTGCTTGCTGAATTTCAAAAACCTGAAGATTATAAAATTAAAAAAAAGGTTTTTGCTTTTCTCCCATATTGGTGAGCTAGCTGCATACATTTTTGAGAACATATCTTCCTGTAAGTGATTAGCATAACATTTTGCAAAGTTTGTAATGTGAGATTCTTCAGAGAACGATTTCCTTCTGTTCAGCTGCTTCAGGCAATCTTAGTATACAGAAGATATTTAGTGTAGCCTTCAGTACACACTCATTCAGTTAGCAAAACTATTAAGGTTACATTTGCACAGCTCCAAATAACAGCTTTTATGTTTCTATCTTAGATTTTTATCTCCGTAATGCTTCCTTTTCTAAGAATTTTGGGAAATCTTAACAAGGTACAGTTGGTCCTTTTGAGTTAAGATAGTTGATGTTAATTCTGTAGATGCACTTTTGGGGCAGATTTATATGCAAGTGAAATGCAGTTGAAGTGAAATGTTTTCTTAAGAGAGGAGGAGCCAATTATTTGCTCTTTCTTTACTAGTAGAAATAAGATGCTCTGTTGGGGATTTTTCAAGTTCAAAGGAGCCATACAGACAGATGATTATCTGCAGTTAGCTTTTGGATATTTCATTCAAGACCAGAAATAGCTTAAATATTATTTGATTGGAGACTTTCACTTCAAAAACTCCAGGTCTCAGAGACCATAGACTCGGATATGTGGGGAGAGGGGTGGATCTGCAAAAAAACAGAGGGTTGAGATTGGCTAGTCAATAGGCTACTTTGTTCTCTGAATTTGCCTGGAGTAGAGGTAGCTTAAGGCAGTAAAGACATGTTGGTGGGATGAACTCATTTGGAGCCAATGTAATGTAAGAAAAGAGCATAGACTTGGAATCAGAAGCCATATTTCAGATTTTAACTCTTTGATCTTAGGCTGTATGACCTTAAATACATTACTTTATCTTCCAGGTCTCCATCTTCCTGTGTACCTATTATTGTGAGCTAGTTGGAGCACAAGTCTTATCTATCTCTAGCTTGTGCTTGTCTCAGAGTATCTTTTTGATTAAAGTGGCTTCTCACTGAAAATTGTTTTCATAAATAGAGAATAAATGCATTGAATGGATGAATGAACATAGAAGTATAATTAACTTGCAGGTTGTTGAGATGAGTAACTGATACTTGTGTATAGAAATTCTACCATAGTCTCTAACATATTGCAGGCATACCATAACTGTTAATTATTATTATCATCATCACAATCAGACTTGCAAAGAGGTTGAGAAACAGATGTGGGTAAGGCAGTGATGGGAATGAAGTCAGCTGGACATGATAGTGCTTGGCAGCAGGCCTGGGAATCAGGGGCCTGCAGGCAACAAGCAGGTAGCCACCATGGCCAACCTGGGAATGGTAGCCTCTTGTTTCCCGCATGCTGGGATGGGACCACTGCCAGAGTTTGGAATCAGAGAGATTGCAAGTTGAGAGAGGGAACCTTTTGGAGGAATGAGAAGTAGATTAGCTTAGGGATTGTGGGATCAGGGAGAACAATGGATTACTACCCAGTTAGATTTCCTGGCTCATTTAAACATTCACATAAGCATGTGATTTTGAAAATGGAGCCTCCAGAGGGTTCTGAGGAGGTTGTAGATACCCTACTTGTGGTAATTGTTCCAAGTCACTAGTTCAGAAAGGTGTCCAATGAATGAGTGTTGGATTACTGCCATTCTTTCTCCTAGTCATCATCTCCTTTCAGTTGCATTAGTGTTTAGGACACAAAATACACACAGAATCATTTCAGTCCTGGGAAATCAAAGCTTGCATGTACTAGCATGTTTTCTTGGTTGTCCTAGGATGGAAGGAAAAACTATGACAGGCATAGAGGACTTGTCCTTACTGCTTATCTGTTGAGGTGTAAATGTGAAAATACACAATGCAGTTATTGTTGAAATTTTGATATTTTAAAATGGAAGTTTTAAAATATGCTACAAATCTTAAAACAAATAGTGAATTATGTTTTACCCCAAGTTAAAAAGAAATACTTTATTTTCTGACAGTGTGTAGCAGAGAATCCCAGAAAATTTTCTGAGATTTATTTGGGTTTATTTGAAGGATAGAACAATATACAGAGACATCTTGTTTAGGTATTGTTTTAAAACTTGAAGTGCATGATAGAACTGAATAGTTTCATTTCAAGTTAATGTGAACTAAAATTTTAAAGTATTTGTTCCTAGCCTAAATAACATACTAGGTTAGGGGCCAATGTTGAATCGCTAAAATAGCAATAGAATTCAGATCTTGGTTCAATTTTCTGAGTATTGTAACTCAAGCAAGGTAGTGCGTATCACTGTTTCTCCAAAAAAGTCTTCATGCAGTAATGGTTATGTGAAGCAATATATGTGGTTCTTTTTTAATTCGAAGTTCATTTTTTTTTCTTTTTGTCTGTTGTGGGGCTTGAACTCTGGGCCTGGGTACTGTCCCTGTGCTCTTCAGCTCAAGGTGAGCGCTCTACCACTTGAGCCACAGTACCACTTTCGGTTTTCTGGTGTTTAATTTGAGATGAGTCTCACAGACTTTCCTGCCTGAGCTGGCTTTGAACTGAGATCCTTAGTTCTCAGCCTCCTGGGGTAGCTAGGATTACAGGCGTGAGCCACCAGTGTCCAGCTTGTTTTGTTTTTTGAAGTACTAGTTTATTTCTTACTTCATGGTGATTTCAAATTTGTCATATATTTTTAATGTTTTTTATTGTAAAAATGGTGTTACTAATGCTCGATATTTTTATTTTTAATTAAATGTAACCTCTTGCATTCACTTTTAATATGTGTGTTTTATATATATATATATATATATATATATATATATATATATATATTTCCTTCTCTAAACCAATGGCTGAGCATGCCATAGACACTTAGAAGTAACTATAGTAATTTTTTCACATTTTCATTCTTACCTCCTTAAATTTTTCATCTCTATATATAGATTCTTCAGTATAGAACAGAATGCTCTTCATGTAGATGATATAACAGCAGTATAAAAGAATCTTGAATCATTTACTATAACTCTGCCCCAGTGACATCTTAAGGGAAAGTTAGATAATGTTTTTATATATTCTCTTGCCCTCTTTCCATCCCTTCTAGTGATATTATTGTTTGAACTCAGAGCCTCATTTCTGCTAAATAGGGGCTCTATTATTGAATCATGCCTCCAGATCCTTTTCTCATTAGTTATTTTGAGAGTCTTGCTTTTTCTTTTGCCTCGATTTGCATCTGGACCAAGATCTACCTATTTTATGATTCTCATTGTAGCTGGGCTGACAGATGCTTCTTCCACTGAGAGTCTTGCAAACTCCTCTCCGCCTCCTGTGGGCTGGGCTGGCCTCAAACTGTGATCCTGTCAATCTCAGCCTTCCAAATAGCTAGGATTATTGATGTGAGCCACCAGCAACTGACTTCATACACTTTAACTAATTTTTATGATTGTGTTTATATTTGATGTGTACATTTAATCTTCAAAATTCTGTAGCTGTAAATTTTCTGGATGCTTTGGAGGATAGCAGTGATCTCATGGTTGTTTTTGAAAACAAGAATAATCCTTGTAAAGACTTGATCTAGTCCCTTTTTGCCATAACACTGCAGTAGATAAATTTCCTTGGATGTACATTGTGAGACAAAACATTATACTGATAAGAGGTCACCATTTTGGAAATCACCACTGTCAGCATAGTATAAATTGTAGGCATCAAATCAATTTGAATTATTTTTTCCTTTTGCTCATCAGTCCACTGGGATTCATTAGAAGCTTAGAAAGAGTGCAACAAAAGCATTGTAGGAGTGGAATTTGATAGATAAAAGAATTATGAGATCTGTGATGCTGTAGGACTTAGTGTGTTTCCTGGCGAGGGTTTTTCTTACAAGATTTCTGACTAGCAAAGTTTGTACATTTCATGTTAGGCTCCCTTCTAGTTATGATTAATCCAGATAGCTATTTGTGATCTGATTAAATAAAAAAACTGTAGTGCACTTACAAGATATTTTAGACAAAGACTATGGTTTATTGTAGCCATGCCACAAACAGCATGCTGTCTCTTTTATGTTATTATAAAAGGTTTAAATAAACCTTTGTTTATAATGAGACCATATAAAATCACTTTTCAATATTTAAACAATATAAGTCGAAGAGTTATCTTATATTACCTTTGGAAGAAGACAGGAAATAAGACAGGATATAAATAAATGTAAAACTATGAATACAAAGTTACAGAAAAAACCTATCGCCTTGGTATTATTTCATTTTCACAAATTTAAGATTTTCTTACATTTATTACTCATTTTACTTTTTGTAATCTTGGTCCTTTATGCATTCTCATTTAACATTATATCTTAGCCATTTAATATTTTTCCATGGTTATAATAATTACAGACTACTTAATATTTTGTTAAAAAATTCCATTCATATAATAGACATTTATTTAGCTCTTTCCTATTATTTGAATGATGTCCCTTTCCCCTATTTTAGAAAATATTAGTAGGGGGCTGGGAAGGTGGCTCAGTGTTAGAGTGCTTGCCTTGCATGAATGAGTCCCTGGGTTCGATTCCTCAGCAACACATAAGCAGAAAAAGCCAGAAGAGGTGCTGTGGTTCAGGTGGTAGAGTGCTAGCCTTGAGCTGAAGAACTGAGGGACAACGTCCAGGCCCAGAGTTCAGGCCTCATGACCGGCCAAAAAAAAAAACAAACCAAAAAACACACAAAAAAACTAGTTGGAACATCATGTTTATCCAGCCTCCCTACTAAAGTATATAATGTTGTTACACCTTACTGTCTTTAAAAAGAGAATAACAATATTTACTGACTTATAATGAAATTATATATAAAGAGCTCAGCACAGTGCTTGGCACAGGGCAAAAAGTCAGTGAAGACATCTTCAGCATCATTAGCTCCATTTAGTCTTCAGTTCAACAATTTGCATAGCACTTCCTTGAGAATTGGGGTAGATGGACTTGAGAATATTCTGAACACTAGTAAAATGGCCTTTTAAGATTACCTTCTCATATTTGTGTTTTTTTTTCTCCTCTGGGCTACTTATAGCAAAAGGTCACCGAGTGATTTGTGGTTCTGGAGGCCAAGAAGTCCATTATTGGGCTTTGGGAGATGCAAAGCTTAGGACTACTTTGTGGTTTGTAGGTGGTGCCTTTCTTACCATTTCTTTACATGATGGAAGGAGTAACGTAGCTCTCTGAGCCTCTTTTATCAAGGCAGTCATTCCACAAGTGAGGGCTACACACTTAAATTTTATCAGCTCCCAATGGCCATCTCATTCTCCTGAGTAGCTAGGAATATGGGCATGAGCTACTTGTGCCTGGCCATTGGTTAGATTTTAATATATGAATGGGGAGATAGTAGCCAGTAATGTTCTTCTTTTTACTACCTATGTGAGAGTGCACTTAATGACTTGCCCAAGGCCATGGTCATTTTTGGGACCGTTGTCCTTGATACCTTTGTGTTCCTAGGATCTTCAATGTAATGGTACATAGCAGGAGGTGCTGAATTAGTGACTATATGAATGAATGCTTTATTTAAGTATTGCATTACATAGAACTATAATAGTGAAATAAGGTTTTATTTCTGTAGACCTAAGGAATAGTCAAAGAATATTTTCTGTTACAGTCTACTGATGTTTGTGAGCAGATCTTGAGAGTGGTGAGTAGGTCCAATCGACTAGAAGAATTGGTATTGGAAAATGCTGGACTTAGAACGTGAGTATTTTCTTGAATGTGTGAATAGGTTACTCTAAAACTTTATGTCATTTGCTCTCTTAATTAATATTTAGTTTGTTAAAGTTGAAGTACTCATATTTAGGAGTTATTTATATTTTAAAATATAAATACAACATATAGACAACACACTGATTTTTGCTATTATGAAGTTCAAAGATTTGATATTTTCTATCAGTATCACTTGGTATTTTTGTGGTTACATTGTGTAGTGATTAAGAGCATTGGACTTGCTGGGTGCTGGTGGCTTACTCCTGTAATCCTAGCTACTCAGGAGGCTGAGATCTGAGGATCACCAACCTGGGCAGGAATGTCCATGAGACTCTTATCTCCAATCAACCACCAGAAAACTGGAAGTGGTGCTGTCGTTCAAGTGGTAGAGCACCAGCCTTGAGCAGAACTCAGGGATAGTGCCCAGGCCCAGAGTTCAAGCCCCACAACTGACAAAAAAAAAAAAAAAAAAAGAACACTGGCCTTTGGTTAGCATGACCTTTGGTTGTCTAGCCTTTATCTATCAGTGTCTTTGCCTTTAAAATTTGAATAAGCAGAATACCTACTTTACAGAATTAAATTTTTCCTAATTGATAGTTGTTAAGTACTTTTCAAATACTTTTCACATTATAAATGTTATGCATGTCTTTTACTGTACCATTAATGGAAGTCCCAGAAATAGCATTTCATATGATTTTTTTTAATCAGTCATTTTTCTCCGCTTTCAAGTAATACTTATACAGTCTTCATCTAGTGATTTAGTAGACTTTATTTCTGCTAAGGGTAGATATTTTGTAATTTTGTAGTTTGTGAGTTGTTATATAACTAAAATAGTGATTGTCCTTTTTTTCTTTTGTAAAATGCAGTGCTTAGCCATTGTAGCCTTTAACTCAGTAATGAGAATAATCAGTCTTACATTCATGAGAATTACATGAATTGAGAGCTGAGGCACCGTGAATAGCCTACTGGAATTTTCATGAAATTTTTGTTTCATTCAGGAATGTTCAAGAAAAAAGTTATGTATGAATCAAGTTGTAATATGAATAGCATAAAATGCGTGTTTATAGGTGCAGTTAAGTACTTTGTATTTGCTTTTGATTGAGGCTTTGGCAAATCAGAATGTACTTTAGGCTGGCTGTCACTCTACAGATTCTCTCATAGGTGTTCATAGATATTTACACATACACAATGCATACGATCATATAATAAAGGAGGATTCTCTTTAAGATTTCTTTTTATCTTAATCTTTTGAGTATTTGAATAGCATTATATTGTATGCACTTATTCCTATAATTTTATATATTTACAGAGATTTTGCACAAAAACTGGCCGGTGCTCTAGCACATAATCCCAACTCAGGACTTCACACGATTAACCTTGCTGGCAACCCACTGGAGGATAGAGGTATGATGGTGGTCACCGGACCGTTAATGTCAGAGTGGGAAGATTAGAGTTTTGTGGGGTTTTTTTTCCCCCTCCCCCTAGTCCTAGGGCTTGAACTCAGGAACTAGACACTGTCTCTGAGCTTCTTTTGCTCAAGGCTAGCACTCTACCATGAGCCACAGCACCACTTTTGGCTTTTTCTATTTATGTGGTACTGAGGAATCAAACCCAGGGCTTCATGCATGCTTGGCAAGTATTCTACCACTAAGCCACATTCCTAGACCCAGAGGATTAGAGTTTTAATTTCATCATGACTGAAGAGTATATTGAGCTCAGTTGTCACTCAGTTATAACTAGTATTGGTATGTTTGTGGGCTTCTAGCTCTTTCTATCTTTTCTCGAAGATATATAGACTCAGATTTTCCTACCTGATTAACTTAGTTTTGAAGTTAGACAAGGAGAAAGAAGATAAGAATTTTTAAATATTTTATTAGCACTCCACTGCTGCATAACAAATTGCTTCATACTTATTAGCAGCTTTAAATGTCACATTTATTATCTCAGGTCCCAGGTTAGCTGGGATCTGTGCTCAGCATGCCTCAAGGTTAAAACCATATTGTCAGTGGAGCTCTGCTGCTGTCTGTGACCTAGAGTGTTTCTCACGTTTATAAATTGTTGGCATTATTAATTTCCTGGGGCCTGTAAGACTGAGGCCCATCTAGTTTTCTTGCTAGTTGTATAAGACCACCCCAATGCTGGTCAGTAGACATAAAAAGGAAAATATGAGACTGGAATTTCAGTAATGGCTCATTGATAGATGGGGTTTAAGAAGGAATTGCTGTATCTTTAGAGGAAATACTTTATTTTCTGTGGCAATTTTTTTTCTAGCTTTGTTAAATAAGGGTCTTTCACCTTTCATTGTTATCTATTTGATGAAGATTAATCATTCAACTGAGCTGGGAATATAAACATAAACAGTTTTGCCTTTTTGTTCGGTGTATGAACTCCACTGTGTATATAACCAGGAGGGGAAAACACCCTTAAGAGCAACTTGTGAATCTGAAGGAGAGTTAAGAAACTAGATCCCATAAAAGCACCTTCATAGAGTAAGCTGAAGTTGGATATAATGGATGTAGACTCCTGGAATAGGAGTTTCTCTGGGGTATACTAATTTCTCCAGGAAAAACAGCTGTCTGTCTATGAATCAAATGCAACGGAAAGATGTATGTGACATACTGGAAATCCTATACATCACCTCTTATAGTCAGGAGAGTTGTCCTGGTTTTGTTCAAAGATGTGAGAGAATCAGTCACATTTATCTACTGACAGGCAGGACAGAATTCGTAAAAGGAGGTAGTAATTGGATGCTGGTGCAGACCAGGAAGGAAACACTCCATAGTCATTAGAGAAGTGATTAAGCCCACAATGAAGCAGCATTTCTCACCCAGGGATCAAAGTTTGGTGTTACAGAGGATGTGGGGAAAAAAACTTAACAGGTTGCTACTTGGAGTATCAGAAAGGTGTGGTCATTTTGGAAACTGATTCCCTGTTGTCGCTGTTGTTGTTGTTTTTGTTTGTTTTTTAAACTGAAACGTGGCAGGGGCTGAGAAGGTGGCTTAATGGTAGAGTGCTTGCCTTGAATGCATGAGGCCCTGGGTTTGATTGCTCAGCACCACATAAGCTGAAAAAGCCAGAAGTGGTGCTATGGCTTAAGTGGTAGAGCACTGACGAGCTGAGGGACAGTGCCAGGACCCAGAGTTCAGGCCCCACTACCGACCAAAACAACAACAACAAAACCAAAACAAAAAAATTGAAACATTGCAGATACCAGTGGCTCATGTCTGTAATCCTTGCTACTCAGGAGGCTGAGGTCTGAGGATCCCGTTTTGAAGCCATGTCTGGCAGGAAAGACTATGAGACTCTTATCTCCAATTAAACACCATAAAAAGCCAGAAGTGGAGCTATGGCTCAAGCCTTGAGCCTAAAATCTCAGGCACAGTGGCCCTGGACCCAGGACTGGTACAGAAAAAAATTTGCCAAAAGATCTAGCTGTTATACTTTTTGGGTATCACTGAAGAGAAAGGAGACTCAGTCAATACAAAACCTTCCAACCAAAGTTTGCAGAAATAGTATACATTATAGCCAAAAGGTAGAAACAGTTCAAATGTCCCCACTGGGTGAATAAAACCTGGTAGTTCTAACCCTGCAAAACCAGTCAGCAATGAAAAAGGCATGAAATTCTAATGCTGGCTGCCACATGACTGAACTTCAAAGACTTCTTTCACTCAAAGTGAAAGAAGATGTCTGTGAGACCGAGAGGAAGGGTGCGCTGAGCAACCTCCCTTCTCCTCCTGTCCCATGTCTCAAGGGCTCTTGGATGCAGCAGGTGCAGTTTTTTCCTGTCAGGCTCTCTCCTTGGATGTCCTGTAGCCCTTGGGTTTTTTTGTTTTGTTTTGTTTTTGGGTCCAGTTATGGGGCCTGAACTCTGGGCCTGGGCGCTGTCCCTCAGCTCTTCAGCTCAAGGCTAGCACTCTACCACTTGAGCCACAGCACCACTTCCGGCTTTTTTCTTTTTGCTTATATGGTGCTGAGGAATCGAACCCAGGGCCTCAGGCTTGCAAGGCAACCACTCTACCACTGAGCCACCTTCCCAGCCCCTAGCCCTTGGGTTTTAACTTCTGTGATGATAGTTACTACATTTGATCCTTCTTCTAAGTAAATGTTCTTTTTCCCTCCTCTACCACCCATCACCTCTTCTCCTCCTTTTCTGGTCTTTCTTTCTCCTCTCTTTTCCTATGACACACAACATCTGGATTTAAGATCTTGTCCATAATCTATACATATTTTCCTTAAATCAAATTGGTTTGTATTTAATGTTCATTCTCTTACATAGTTTTTAAAGTTGTACTTGGAAATGAAGGTTATAGAGGTGTGTGTGTGTGTGTGTGTGTGTGTGTGTGTGTGTGTGTGTGCGCACACACGTGCACGCACATGCGCGTATGCAAATACTAAGGCTTAGACTCAGGGCCTGGGTGCTATCCTTGAGCTCTTTTGCTCAAGGCTGGTATTCTGCTACCTGAGCCATAGCTCCACTTTTGGCTTTTTGGTGGCTGATTAGAGATAGGTGGTGGACTTTCCTGCTTGGGTTGACTTTGAACCGTGATCTCAACCTTCTGAGCAGCTGGGATCACAGGCTTGATTGACTGGCTCCTGGCTGTGATTTCTGTTTATGGAGGGAGAAGATATGTTCAAAGAAAATGTTTCTCTGCTTTTTTCTTCTACATTCCTATTCCTGCTGAGACCTTTTTTTCTACCTGTTGCCCATTTACAGTCACTATGTGGTTGGTTTTCTTATCCTCAGCTGGAATATGGGAACTTGCCAGGGTAGATTCTCTCACATGCTTTCGAATTCTGATACTCATAATAACCTTTTCACAGACCAGTACTTGCTCCTTCCAGAGTCATTCATTGCTGGATTTGCCAGTGCCCATGGACAGCTGCCAAAACGCATCCTTCTTGCTTTCTCCCCACCAGGGACTGAGTCTCCCAAAAACAAATTCTTTATTGGTTCTTAATAGCTATTTATTGGAATTGACTGGGAGCTTTTCTAGTTGTGTAAAACAGTTACTGAAATTTCAGTTTAGAAAATGAAGTTAAAAATTTTTGGTTCTGCATTTTTCCATGACAGGATTTTATGTAGGAAAGTAATAAAAGGGACAGGGGAGGAACTTTTTATTATTATTATTATTATTTTGTGAACATACTGTAAAGAGGGGTTACAATTACATGGGCAAGATAATGAGTACATTTCTTATCAAGCATTACAGCCTCCTCCTTTGTTTACCCTTCACATCCCTTCCCAGCCTCCCCCCGCACCCCCACCCAATCCTCCCCCCCACCAAAGTTGTAAAGTTCGTTTTCGACATGACAACTTGTACTTCTCATTGTTGCAAGGAGTCCACCTGTATCCTTAATGACTTGTTTTTCCCCATCTCCTCCACAAATTATACCGACATCAAATATAGTGAAAGCAGGGGTTATACTGTGGGGGAGGGACATACAAAGCAACAAAGAAATAAACTTATAAATGTCTTAGAAACAAATGCATGAAAGAAAAAAAGGGGAGGAACTTGTAATGAAGTCATATAGTATAAAAGAGACTGGGCCAGTGAAGATTATTTGCAAAGAAATTAAAAAGGAACACATGGCAGGATCTTAGCAGTTGTAGTAGGTCAGACTTCTGAGGAATTTAAACACCAAATGGAATTTGACTTTGTACCTGAACTATCTACTCTAGGATTTATTTGGCAATGCTCAGAGAGAAAGTTTGGCTCTTGGCTTTGTGATATGAATGTTGATACAGCAAATACCTGTTATTTACAGCTCAGTCTCCTTGTCCTACCCATGTGAGGACAGACTCTCAGCCTTCTCATTGTTAAGAGGCTTCTGGTGAAGGAGGATAAAGTAAGGTTTAGTAGGGAAGGGATGGTGTTTCTTGCTTTATCAGCAATAGCTGCATAGGTGGTGACCAGACCACTGGGGCATGTGCACTGACAAGCTGGTCTTACCCTGGCTGTGAGGCTGGGCTTGCTCACCACCTTGTTTTTGGCCTGCTTCTAACCTAGTGCTTTTTTTCAGGCTATGGCTTTATAGCTTTTAGGAGGCCATGAAATCAATTATTATGCAGGATAAAGAGAATTTTAAAATGATATAGGCTTGTTAAGACATTTAAGTTAGGCGTTGACTCCAGTTTTTGTTTTGTTTTTGGTATCCTTTTATTTTTATGTTCCTTATGCTTGATTCTCAGTTTTATTTTCAACATAGAAATACTTCATGGTGGCTTGTTTATTCACTTGCTTTTCTCAGAGTTTCTGAGCTTTCCAAGGAAGTCACAGGAATTGGTAGAAATCTAAAAAAAATTAACTCGCTTGTAATATGGCTTTTACAATGTTTTAACCTATATACTTTCTAAACATAAGGAAAAGGACCACTTTATTCCAATATCATATTACTAGAACCAC